AAGGTATTAACGAGACGATTATAATGGTGTAACTTGTTAAAATAAAAATGTATTTTTTAAACATGTTTTAATTGATATACGATTATGTATATTATTTTGATAAAAGTTTAAAATGAAACATTTAAAAGTAAAAGACGTAAAGTAAATTATTTAACTAATTATAGGGATATAAAGTGTAAATTTAAAATTATAATTTAAAAAAAAATCGGTTGTGAGAGGGTGAGTGTATGTGAGGAGAGGAGGGGGTGAAAAAGTAAAAAAGTGATATAAAAGGTATCTTGATCATTTAGTATTTTAAGACTTTAAGACTTTTGTTAAATTTATTTTATAAGATAGTATAGATTAAGAAGTCATGTCTTAATCATTAAGATGTTTAGTTTGTTTGGTAAAAAAACCAACTTCTTAATGGTTCTAGGAGTATCTCTAAACCATTCAGAACCCTTTCTTTCCAAGAGACTACCCTTCTTCCTCCCTCCAGCTCTCACCTGTCTTCTTCCTCATGAATCTTTTCCTCACATATGCAGGTTCTTCGTGACGTCTTATCCACGTAAAAAAGGGTTTCTTCATAAACTTGGATTTACTTCTTGTATTTGGAAACCATATTCAGGGCCGTTTACCCAAATGCTTACTTGATAAGTGCTTATAAGTAGGAATCAACATTATAATTTATTTTTATCGGATAAGATTGTAGTACATCAAAACGATATCATATGCAACAATTTACCCGGTAAGCACTTACCCGGTAAGACTCTCCAACATAATCATCGCTCTTAACAGGTAAAATTCTTGGCCCTTGCCACGTTAATCCGATAAGGAAAATTTCCCGATAAACGCTTACCGGGTAAGCGTTTAGTAAACGGCCCTTCAATCCACGTAAAAAATGATTTCTTCTTTTATCCATAACCGACTCCATCCACCCTCTTCTTTATGATACACGACTTATTTTTTGTGAATCTGTTGTACAATTGAGGTTTCTAGAGAGAAATATAAGAAAGAAAGTAGAAGCGGGTATCCATTTTAAAGATCTAGATGTTTCTTGATGTCAAGCTTCCGTTTTTTGTTTTTGTACAGCTTTGACTTTCAATAATCGAATGTCAACAAGAAACTTCATGTCTGAAATTTTTCTAAGTAATAATAACACGGGGAATTGCTTTTGACTAAAGAATTGATTTTGTTGAAACATGAACTGATTAAATGGTTTGCAAGACTCGAAAGAAACAAGGTTGATGGTTAGCTTTGTTACGGGTATTTCAAGATTCCTGAAATTGGTTGAGAGGTGAGATAAGTCCATTTTGCAATCTATTCTTGACGATGAAAAGAACCCACATCATAAAAACGGGGATATGAGTATCAGATACGAGATTCCGTGTTCTACCCAAAAGAGTTGGCGTGAACTACTTGATCGGATCATAAAAACTCACTTCCTTCTCATAAGATGTAGTAAGCTACAAGCCTTGTGACAAGTAGAACCTACTTTATTTTAATTAATACTTTAAAGATTGTTTTCGTCACTCGATATTGTTTCATTATATTTTGTTACTGATCTATTGATAAATCGATAAAGAAATGGTATATATTCCTTTCGTGTTATAAACATAAAATCATATTAGAGATTTGATCATTTAAAAGATGAAAGTTTGTCGGGTTTTTTTTTAAATATTTCATTTATTCAATTTTAAAAATTCACGAAGTTATTTGTTAAAAAATGTTCAAAAGTTAAATTATTTAAAATATAAAAATTTATTAGGTTTTTTCTTAAAAATTCTTTTTTTAAACTTAAACAAGAAATAAACGTACAACCTGTCGCTGTGGTTATCAACCTAACCCACGAACCGGTCATAAGTCGATGTCAAGAATTAAATATTCATAACCTTAATTTCACTTGTTTTAATTTATTTTAATTACACGTCCAAATGAATATTTTATATCAATGATGAAATTTGTCACACATAAAATGCATACTTAAAAAGAAACCAATTTTTTCTAAGGTATTTTCTAAAATAACCCGAATACATAAAAAAATTGAAGATAAGTATATATTTTTCAAAACGATCAGTTAAATCGTCAAAAAAATTCGTCATTGACCATCAGGGTAATGATCCATCAACTTGTTGGTTCTTTTTCTGAAGTAGCAACGGGCGATCACACGAGGGTGAGCTAACTTCAAAAACCCGTCCTCATTTCGGATTGCAGGCTACAACTCTCATGCATGAAGCTGGAATCACTAGTAATCATCGGTCAGCCATACGATGATGAATCCGCTCCCCAGAGAAACCCCATCCATTTCTTTCCTTTTTCCGCCACCATTTTCAATATTAATAGGTTCATTGTTTCGCTTCTGTATCTTCTTATACTTTTCTCATTTATGTCAGAGATGATACCCACTTGCTAATGAAAGTACTGAAAAAATCCATGTAAACTGCCAAATTTCAAGGTTCTTGGCGATTTCAACGACAAAAGTGACACAAGTTATTTTGTTAACATCAAATTTTGACGATATGACCGTTCATTTTCTTACTTTGTTTACATGACTTCTAGTCATTTTCTAGAACACCACAAAGGAAAAACAATTCACTTTATCTCTTAACCACATAGATTGTTTGATTCAGATAGATGAATGGAAATGGAAATAACATAAAATAAAAATGATAATTAATTTTCATTATCCCAGCTTAACCTCCAATAAAAATTAAGGTCTTTGAGGATCGGACTCATTATATTATATAAAATCAAACAGTTTCTTTTATTCTCAATCTAATTAATCACTACTTAATATCTCAAACCAGACAACTCCTAAATCAGTACATTTAAATCTTTAATATCAAAAATTATATTCAAATGTTCCTTCTTCCCTTAAACACCATCTTAAAACCTACTTTTTATAACATTAATTACATTATAAATCTTTTATCCCATCCAAGTAGGAATAAAAATCCCCTTATGGCCACAGAAGTTCAAATGCGATAACTTCGAACTACCCGTGAAGCGGATGGTTACCTTAGAATTAGTCAACTCACATAACGGATTATATATCCAGGTTAATAAAAAATTAATTATAAATCGTTAATATTTCCAATAATTTTGTCGTGTTAAAATATATGTTTTAAATATATGGTCCAAGAAATCACATATGACATGATAATATTATTTATTTGATTTATTTTAATTATTGTGTACCTAACACCGATATTTATATCAATTTCCACGTGGTAAAATTGGCCTGCCTTTCTATCTTCCTATCCATAAATTCCCCCTTCTTGATCCATTTCAATTCATCAACTTCATAGCTTGGATTTGGAATCGTAACGAAAATGTTGACAAAAATAATTTCCTTTTTTATTTTTGTTTTAATTTTTGTTTCATTTCAAGAACGAATCAACGGTGCGTTAGACGAAAGTACGAAAAAGATGATCGAAAAAGCCAACAAAAACGGCCCCTTTTTAGGCTTGGTTATTCCCAACATGTTTGAGATGAATCCGCTACTCAGTAATCCTAATTACAAGTCAACTAAACTAGTCATCGATTATGCAGGTAAATATATACATATATATTTGTTTCTTTAAATATGTTAAGAGATTCTTAAGGCAGTGTGTAAGTTTCTAAAGAATGTGTTTGATTTATGTTGGTTTGAAGGGAGGAGGTTTCGGTTTGGAAAGATTTACAAAAAGCCAGTGATTCTGGTCATGAGTGGAATGGGAATGGTAACGTTCTGACGTACTTTATCTGATACGTGCATCGTACAACTCATCAATGCGTCGTTATTTATAACAGGTGAATGCTGCAATTGCGACACAACTTTTGTTGAGTTTGTTTGAGATAGAAGGTGTGATACACTATGGAATAGCAGGGAATGCAAACCCAAATCTAAATATTGGAGATGTAACCATTGCTGAGTATTGGTCTCATTCTGCCCTTTGGAATTGGCAGGTACATATATTCTCTTTCACCAATGCATCAATGACTTGTACAGTACAAGCCGTTGATGCATAGCAACAATTTCTTGATGATTTAGAGTTTCATCGACTCTTTAAGCTAAGGTACAAAAAGGCAAAATGAATTGGGGTTAGTTAAAGAGTGCACAAGATTTATATAGGCATGGTACAAGTTTTTAGAGTTTAATGTGTAGCTCACTTGCCAAAGAGATGAGACGACTTTGTCTAAATACAAAACATGTCTCGAGTTCGATCTAGCAAAAGAATGCTGACATTAGTGTCCTTAAAAGCGAGCTCTGTGTGAACTAGTTAGGGTTGTCAGTAATCAACTTTATTTGCCACACAGTACAAGCTTCTAATGCATGAGATATTGTAGAGATATGGAGATGGGCCTGAAGATCCATTGCCATTTGAAGGAGAAGACGGATTCACAAGAGAAATTGGGTATATGAAATTTGGAACATATTCAACAAAAGGTGAAGATAACTTGTTGAATAATGTGTGGTATCAAGCAGAAGAAGTCTATCCTGTGGATGGAACTCCTGAACAAACTAAACAAGTATTTTGGATCCCTGTGGACTCCAACTACCTCTCTCTCTCAAAATCCCTCGAGGTTCAATTAGCAGTTTGCTTTCTCCTCTTTTTATCTGTCTTTTACAAAGAAAAGACTGCGTACATCATATTCCTATATTGTGGTTCACGTATGATTTACTGGGTTTGTTTGTTTTTTTTTATTATAGAAACTCAAGTTGGAGGATTGCATTAACGCGACCACATGTTTGACCAATCCGCCAAAGGTGACCACGGTCCAGAGAGGGACGAGTGCCAACATTTATCTCGACAATGCGGCCTATCGAAGCTTCTTATACAACAAATTCAACATTAGTCCGGTGGAAATGGAAAGTGCCGGGGTGGCTCTCATTTGCTTTCAACAAAAAGTGCCGTTCATAACTTTTAGAGCCCTTTCTGACCTAGCCGGTGGCGGCACGGCTACCTCAAACGAAGCCAATACTTTTTCCGGCCTCAGTGCAGAGAACTCCGTGATAGTGATGGTGGAGTTCGTTAAATTGTTGACGGGTTATAATAGAAAATTGATAAACAGTTTTTGGTAGAAGTTCTATTAGTAATTCAAGTCTTCTAAAAAAGAAAAAAATAAGAGACTTATTGTATTAAATAAATAATATGTTATCATTTTATATTAAAAAAAATAAGTAAATTACTTTTTCTTCCCTTTTGTTTTTGAAAATTGTTGTTTTATTTGAAACTATGATTTTCATTTTTATAGTTTATGATTTATTATTGATTTCATTCTTACGGTAAACGACTTTTGATTTTTTATAAGCAAAAAGTGAAGTGACTCTCGATGACCGCTCTCAATCTGAGCGGTTGCAATATTTTCCCCTGTTAGTGGTATCGACACATCATTCGGTATATTTGTAAATAAGAGATCAACAATTCTTTATAACTTATCTGTATGGACACAATTTTTTACGCATCTCTTTATAAATTATGTTTTGGAGTGACTAATAGAAATTATATATTTCTTTCAATTTGTCGGTTTTGTAAACTTTGCTACTAATTTGTTGATATATCAAGAAAGAAACAGTACATTCCTTTCGTTTTATAAGTATACGAATTTATTCGTTCAAAAACATAACTTGATACTTAGTTGTTCAAAATATAAAAGTTCGTTGGGTTTTTTCGGTCTAATCTCGATGGGATCTGGCTGTATTGGACCATGTTCCATAGCCTTTGGTGCAGACCAATTACGTAAACACGATCGGACCTCCATCGACAACCACAGGATCATCAATAGTTACTTTAAGTGGTGCTACGTGTCTGTAACCGTTTTTACTGTTTTTGTGTTTACTTTCATGGTCTACATCTTGGTCGACGGGTCGGGTTTGTGGTTCCGGTCTTCATCATGCTTTGTTCCACTCTTATGTTCTTACTCGGTTCCTCTATTTAAATATAAATAATAAATTAAACGGATTATTGCATATTTTAAAACGTAATTATAACTATAAAAAACTTATTATACAATTGAAATTAAATAAGACAAGTCACAAAAATAAGTACGAAAATATATCAATAGTGTATTTATTTATAAGGAATTGAAAACTATCAGTTTTGGTATATTTATTGATTTTTTTTATTTATTAAAGTCACGTTTTAATTAGATAAGTTTTATTTTAAAAAAAATTTAAATCAACCAATAAATAAATGACACATATCAATTTCATTAGTAAAAATCTCAATTTTAAACTGTTGAATGAGAAGGATTGATAAAGATTAGTTATACATATATATATATATATATATATATATATATATATATATATATATATATATACTAGTTGTGTACACGCGCAATGCAGCGAGAGTGATAACTGTAAATGATTTTGAAGCTTGGCGGTTTTTTAAGTAGATATTACGAAGATAGGATTTGCAATCAGTCTTTACAATTTGATACTTTTTCAATAAATAAAGGCCATGGTTCTAATTACAACATGTCAACATCAATCAAAAATTGTGTGATAGTGCATAAAATCGAATAAAACAAACTATAATCTAATTACAACATCAATCCAATATAATTTAATTTATGTACAATAACGAAATAATTTATAT